CTCACTGAAGGAGAGAACAGGTGTGTGGGTCTGTCCTCACTGAAGGAGAGAACAGGTGTGCGTGTGTGTGTGTGTTTGTCCTCCGCTTCATGCTAGCAGGCTCCATTCAGAGAAAGGGAGCTGGCTAACTAGCGTGCTGTACGGTGTCCTACAAGGCCAAATTCTGTGGTGACGGGTGGACACGTAGTGAGATATGCAGTACACTCGGGATAGGAGCATAAAAAACTTAAACACATTGTAAAATCAATTTAGGCCTTTTAGAATCTATTCAGAATCACCAGGACTAGGAATCTAGATTCTTTAAAAAATCAAATTTTTTCAGCACACCTGCTTATTTATTTATTTATTTGACCTTTACAGGTCCATTTCTGGTACTGGTATATTCATGTACCTTGTGTGACCATTTGTCCTTACAGGGACCAGAGCTGGTTCTAATACATTAAATGTTATTTTGGAGTTAGGGTTAGTGCCAAGGAGTAAATACAGTTTTGGTTAGAGTTGAAATGGTTACGTTTAGGGTCAGGGTTAGGCTACAGAAATGATGATTTATTTATTTTGTATTTTACATCACTTTGTAATGTAGATGTTTATGTTTCATTTTTATATCACATTTCTTCTATTTACTTTTCATTTTATATGCTTTTTATCTGATTGTCTGTTGTGTGTACCTCATCTGTGTTCTTTGTTTTTGTACAGGTCTCTCTTGTAAATGAGTCCTGGAGGCTCAGTGACACTAACTTGTTGAAATAAATGTTTAATGAAAGAAAAAAAGCTCCAAATACACAAAGTCTGAAAATTTGGTGTCTGTGAAAGTTGGTCATTTCCAACTGTAAACTGTACGAGTCCTGTCTAAAAACAAAAACACTGCAACATGTCATGTTCTGTGTCTCACCAGGAGTTTTGAAGGCATTTTATATAAGAGAGGAGCTTTGTTGAAACCATGGAAACCCCGGTGGTTTGTTCTGGATAAAACAAAACATCAGGTAAGAATCTGAACCCAAAGCAAACGACCTAACTCATGTCCAGGAGCATCCTTCATGTTCTGTTTGTGTCTGCAGCTGAGATACTACGACTCCAGGCAGGACAAACAGTGTAAGGGGGTGATCGACTTTGCTGAAGTCGAGTGCATCACCGCGGGAACACCGGCCTTGGGAGCGCCTAAAAACATAGAGGAGAAAGCCTTTTTTGATGTGGGTTCTCAAGCATTTTACTCTCATTGTTCATAGTAATACATAAATTCACTTAGTACTTACTAGGTACTTACCCGGTATGCACCTGTGGACCAAACACTGAAACTGTAACTTTTTTATGAAGATAAATTGGTCTCAAAAGTAGTCACAAAAATCAACAAGAAGACCAGAAAAAATATAATTTAAAAATGGACATTTGAAATAAACTGCTCAAAATTGTCTCAAAATACAGGAAAACATTTTTTCCAGCAGAAAAAATGTTAATTTTGTGGATTGTACAACTGAAATACATATCAAATATGAGTAGGTTGTACTTATTGTAGAAAAACTACAGAGAAAATATATTTTCCATTAATATACGGTATATGGAATTTCTAATAAATTTTCGATGTGAAGAATCTGCTCATTTTATGTAGTTTATTTTAACCATACAGTCCACAAAACTAACATCTTTGGAATCCAGTAATACCATACCACTTTATTTATAAAGCACTTTAAACAACAACAAGGCCAACCAAAGTGATGCACAGCAGAAACAAAGGACACAGGATAAAAATACATAGGTCCAAATGGAAAAAGATAATAACTAAATGGCCAACATTGTTGAATACAGACAGGTTACAAACAAAATCATACAGTGTCAGTAATGTCAGTGTAAGCATGTGTATTTTAATATAGATGTGTTTTCACACACACATGTTTTAATATAGTTGTTTAATATACGTGTGTTTTAATACTGATGTTTACATATAAATGTGTTTTCATATAGATGTTTTGTTGTAAATGTTATAATAGATGTTTTGATATATATGTTTTAATATAGATGAGTTTTCATATAGATGTGTTTTCATGTCGATGTTTTCATATAGAGATGTTTTCATAGAGACATTTTCATATAGATGAGTTTTTATATAGATGTGTTTTATTATAGATGT